ACCCCCCACCGGCCGATACGCTCCCACAGAGAGGGCCTCCTCAGGGTGCCGCCAACCAGACAGTGCCGGTTGGCGACCCCCAGGGGGAGAGCCTTCTCTGTCGGAGCGCCCACCCTCTGGAACGAGCTGCCCCCAGAGATCCGGGTGATTCCGGATCTCCCCTCCTTCCGCCGCGCCCTCAAGACCTGGCTGTTTCAGCTGGCAGGACTGGCCTAGGGGTAATTTTAAATTGGTTTTAATTGAATTTTAGTAGTGCGGCCGATTCGAATATTTATTTTTAATTTATCTTAGATTTGTATTTTGTATAATTGTTTTAACTGGCTGTAAGCCGCCCTGAGTCCTCCGGGAGAAGGGCGGGGTATAAATGAAATAAATCTTAAATCTTAAATCTTAAAAATATACTGTAGTAAAAAAGACAGTTAAGACAAAGTTGTAGTCTTGGCTCTTAAAATCTTTTTGAGGAACCCTATCTTTCCTGACTTGGAGTCCCAATCGTTCATCCCTAATCTCTCTATTCATTTTAATTTAAAAATAATTATTTCTGATTACCGGATCAATTCCAAAAGGATAGGGGTTTCCAGAATATACACCTCTTGTTTTTGGATCTAATTGCAGAAAACCATTCTCGTGAACAATTTCATCCCTATGGATGAACAGAAAAATATTAAATTGTTAGGTTGTCACTGAGATGTGATAGCCTTTTCTCACAATAAAATAGAATAAGAAGAAACACAATATAAATGCACTGAAGCCCACAACATTGGCTGTGCAGCTTCTATGTGGACAGCTCAGATAATGCATGATTGTACTAGCAGCTTATATAATTTGTGTACATTCTTTCTTTTCCTGTGTTGATTCAGCTTGCTCTTTCTTCAATGTGCCCAAAGTCTCACTCTTCACACCTTCAAGATTATCTATTACTGTATAAACTATCCTACATTGTTCTATGATGATGCTCCTCCCTAAGTTATGATGAAGTCTGGAATTTGATGACTTTAAGAACTCTTCTCTATAACTCATTACAAGCAAAGATATTTCTATATGTAGTCCGTTGCAGAAGATACTAACATGGTAGGTCTCAATTTATATGTTTCTGTCATATAAAGTGAATATTCTAGAGATCCTATAAAACAGTTCTCCAATTCATCTGAAAATGGACACCAGATGTCCTGGAAATTACATTAAGCATGTAAGTAATTTTCAGATGCCTTAATATAAACATGCTCATGTCTCTTGGGGACCTATAATTCCTATCACCACATCCATAGAGAGAGATTTCAGGGCTAGGAGTTATGAATACTTTGAGGGCTCTATTTGGCTTCTATTATGAGCTTGACAGAATCAAAGTTTAGAATGAGCTCAGAATAAAATATTTAATAGCCATGCCTTTTCTGAATCAAACTGAGAGAAGTTTCCAGTAACTACTGTTTTCTGTTTCTTTTCATCATAGTCAACTGCTGATTAAAGACAGCAATCTTTATGAAATATGAAATGTTGCGCTAGAGATTACTAGGGATAAATTCAGAAAGAGATTGCGGAACAAAAGAGCAAATTGGGCATTCAGCTGCTATTTTCTACAATTATAAACATTGTTTACCACTTACGTCCATACACCATTGTTGTACATTGGTCGGACACGCCAGGAAGATCCAAATATGTTGAAAGATTTGGCGAAGCAATCGTTGTAAATAAAGCCAGTGTAAATGGAAAAGATACTCATGAGTAGGATCAAGTAGCGTCCACCGAAAAAGATGTTCCAGATCTGCACAAGAATATTATATATAATCAAGGGATGATCAAGAATAGCAAACAAATGAAGTTTACTACAGTCTTATTTACAGAAGTCTTCTCCATTTGGCGTCTTCCAGAAATGTGGGACTGCAATTCCCAAAACCAATCATGTTGACTGGGAGGACATCAGGTTGAAGAGATATGCAAAAATAGTTTTTCACCTATTGTTTACTGCCTTGGAAAGAAATGAGTCATCTTCAGAGGCCCTTCTCACCATGAGAAGTGAGATGGGTGACAAGGAAGAAAGCCTGCTCAGATATGGGACTTTGCCTGAGCAGGGGGTTGGACTAGATGACCTCCAAGGTCCCTTCCATCGTCATCGTCGTCATCATCATCATCATCATCATCATCATCATCATTATTATTATTATTATTATTATCCCTTTTCAGGGAGTATGACTGGCCCATTTACATATCTTTTTCTCAGCATGGCTACAAGCTTGTTCTCAGTTTTAAACTGTTCTGTATGTTAAGTTGCTTTGGATAGTTAGACGTGCGAAATATAAATTTAATAAATAATAGCTTTTGTTTGTTATCAGCTGGTTGATTGGCTTCCTCTCATTGCTTGATTTTTTTTTCTGTGATCTTTTAAAACACATTTTTTAGAAACATTATGCTTTAAATAACAGTGTAATCTTGCCCACGAATTTCAGAGATTGGGCAGAGTAGAACATAATAAATAAACAAACATTTTGAAAACTGCTTGCTGTAAGCATTGAGATATCACCTTAAACCACTTACCTCGTTCTTGCTTTTCTGAGCTAAAAAGGACTTTTCATTGCTGATCATCCACAGAGCAAAACCCAGCATGACTGCACCATGACCACAATCGCCAAACATCACCGCAAACAAAAAAGGGAAGGTAATGATAGTGAAGGGGGCTGTGGGAAAGAAAAAGACTATCACATCACTTGTTAAAAACATACTCATTGCAAATCAATTGAGGTTTCAATGAGTGAACATTAAAAAAATAGATGCCTCTAATTTTTTTTAATTGTTATCCTGCCTTTTTTATATATACTGTACAGCTCAAAGTGGCTAACGTACCAATACTCCTTCCTCCTTTTATTTTCCCCACAACAACGTCATGAAGTGAGTTGGGTTGAGAGAAAGTGACTGGGCCAAGATCACTCATCAGGGTTTTTTTCATAACTAAGGTGGGACTAGAAGTCATAGTCAGCTGATTTGTAGGTCAACACTTTAACTAACACACCAGTTTGATTTAATTTGAAAAGCCATTGTTTCTGTAGTTGGAAATTAGGAGAAATGAAGTCCAATATACGGTAGTTGGAGGAAGTGACTGCTAGTCTTGCTGTTAAGGGTCACTCCCAAAGAGCCAGGAATACAATATCACATTTCTCTCTTCAACTGGTTTACTAGAAGGGACAAGCTTTATTTCCAGGGCCCCACAAAAAGCAAGGGGATTCTAAATTACTTCACAAGCAACTTTTTATTATGAATGCTGAGGATTTTGACACATATACATATGTGTATGTATGGATCTAAGAACACTTTTCCCTGATACTGAAAGTCTGTTTCCCAGCTTCTGAGAAACAATGGAAAACCTGGCCAGAGGGGGGAAAAATGAATATATTATGGAGCACTGAGGGGAAATCTACTCATTTTTCATTTCCCCCCCTTATTTATTGATGCCGGAAGGTGCAGATTTGACTACTATTGGGAATCAGCAGATAAATCTGCTAATTTAAGTTAGGGCTGCCCCATCTTTTAACCAAAACTTGAAGTGAGACTAATGCCCAGGTTCAATGAGAATTTTAAAACATGCTTTCGCAATTGGAATCAACAGATGGCACTGTTACACAATATATTATGCTAGTTTTACACACACACAATATAATAATATAATATAATATAATAATATAATATAATATAATATAATATAATATAATATAATATAATATAATATAATATAATATAATATAATATAATATAATATAATATAATATAATATAATATAATATAATATAATATAATATAATATAATAATATAATATAATTAATATAATATAATATAATATAATATAATATAATATAATATAATAATATAATATAATATAATATAATATAATATAATATAATATAATATATTAATATAATTAATATAATATAATATAATATAATATAATATAATAATTAATATAATTAATATAATAATATAATTAATATAATATGATAATATAATATAATATAATATAATAATATAATAATATAATAATATAATAATATAATATAATATAATATAATATAATATAATATAATATAGTATAGTATAGTATAGTATAGTATAATATAATATAATATAATATAATATAATATAATATAATATAATAATATAATATAATATAATATAATATAATATAATATAATATAATATAATATAATATAATATAATATAATATAATATAATATAATAATATAATATAATATAATATAATATACATATTGAAATGCTATTAATTTAAAATCATGTTTTTTGGGGGGTTGAAGTACCCCAAGCAGAGAGATCGGCATCTATCAAAAATGAATTCTAAGTAGCAATTATAATTAACTTTTATAAAATAGAACATGGGCAATTGTACTGAATATCTGAAATTAAATGTTTGCTCGCCTAATTATATTGTTAATTCATCTCCTTAGTCCTTACAGGACCTGCATATTATATATGTATATGTATATATTTTCATAAACTACATTTATTAATTTTTAAACATTTTCTATATAAGACTATAATTTTAGGATCTGGACTTAAAAGATTTATGGAAGTCTCTTATTTTAGATCAAGGCCTCTCAATCTTTTTAAATTTTAATCCTCAAAAATCTCTCTATAAAAATTTTTGTCATTGACAATTATAGAAACAGAAAAGCCAAAAATCCTTTATATGCTTCCAGGTAATCTATTATTATATTGGTTATTTATAGTAACCTTTAAAGATATATAATTTCAATGCCTTACTTTGAATTTCATCTAGGCTACCTCTGAGTTCTATCTGCAATATATATTGGATGTATATTGTAAGAGAAGCAGTATTTTAGGTGGTAATATTTTATTTGTTTGTTTGTTTACTGTTTATTTCCCACCTTTATTATTTTTACAAATAACTCAAGGCGGCAAACATACCCAACACCTTCCTCCTATTTTCCCCACAACAAAAACTCTGTGAGGTTGGTTGGACTGAGAGAGAGTAAGTGGCCCAAGGTCACCCGGCTGGCTTTCATGGCTCAGGCAGAACCAGAACTCACAGGTCTCCTGCTTTCTAGCCTGATGTCTTAACTCAGGGGTCTTCAAACTTGGCCCTTTTATGACTTGTGGACTTCAACTCCCAGAATTCCTCAGCCATCGTGCCTGGCTGAGGAATTCTGGGAGTTGAAGTCCACAAGTCATAAAAGGGCCAAGTTTGAAGACCCCTGCTAACCACTAGACTAGAATAAGAGTTGGAAGAGACCTTGGAGGTCTTCTAGTCCAACCTCCTTCTCAAGCAGGAGACCCCATACTATTTCAGACAAATGGCTGTCCAATCTCTTTTTAAAAACGTCCAGTAGGGCACCCACAACTTCTGAAGGCAAACTGTTCCACTGATTGATTGTTGTAACTATCAAGAAATTTCTCTTTATTTCTAAGTTGGATCTCTCCTTGATTAGTTTCCATCCATTCTTTCTTGTCCTGCTCTCATGTGCTTTAAACAAAAGATGTCTATGGAGATTCTCAGTAATCTAGGTCAAAGTTGTCTCAAAGGTGCTTTTTTTTCTTTTCAAAAAGCAACTGGACTGTTTTTTATTTAAGGAAGAAGAGGAAGACGTTTCACTTCTTATCCAAGAAGCTTTATCAGTTATGATGAAGTAAATAACTTACTTCAGAAAACAGGTTGACCTCCCTCTTCTTAGACCAGAGATTTATATGTGTTGAAGATCTACCCCAAAGGTAGCAAGTGATCATTAGCATGTGGATACATTTGGCATAAAAGAAACAGACAGCATAAAGTCCTTTAAACAAAGTCACTGAAAATATGCTATCTTTAAAAAAGGGTCAAAATAAATCAAAGTCCATATACCTGGGTTAATCTCCCTATAATTCCCAACACCATAGGCATCTACAATGGCCTGGAATCCAGCAGTGAATTTATTGGTTCGGTTAAAAGTAGGAGGATCCAGCTTGGTCTGTATAGCAGTCAGGATGGGGCTGATTGTAGAACCACTTCGTTCCTGAGAACAAGTCAACAATGATTAGAATTAGACAGTGATTACGTCCACTATAAATTTCTCCCAACTCCATGTTTCTATTAGTCTACTGCAGTGTTTCTCAATCTTGGCAACTTTAAGCTGGGTGGACTTCAACTCCCAGAATTACTAAGCCAGCATGCTGACTGGGAATTCACAGTGTTGAAATCCACATGGCTTAAAGTTGCCAAGATTGAGAAACACTGGTCAAGTGCCTAGAATCTCAACAGATTGGATGTTAGGTTACCCAAACAGTTAAATAAATAAATACATTTACACTAAAGTGTTAAAACTGGCTGTATATTACACTCACAGCTGTAGCCTCTACCAAAAAATAATGGGAACAAAAGTCTTTAGGGAGCTGTCAGTGAGAATTTGTGGAGTCTTTCTCACTGTTGGAAAATGACTTCAGGCTATTTCCAGTTTAATTTGTGTCCAGTACACTGTCTGGGAATCCCTGTACCCACATCCAAGGAAATACACATGCCATTCACACAGTAATAGATTGGTATTTATTAAATGTTAGCAAATATCAAAAGTTGTCAGAATCGGACAAAAGCAGATTAAAAGAGAGACACATCAACAACAGACAAAAGCTAAAAAGAGCAGGGGGTTTAATAACAACAATCTACATTACTTAAAAAAGACTTTCAAGAGCCCCTGAAAGCAATACTGTAGTTAATTAGCACAGGTAATCCCTTTCATTTATTTAATTATTCCAGATTTAGTTATTCCAGATTTAACCCTTCTAAGTACATAGCAAAATGTATATGTCAGTAGCATTTCTACTTCCAACAGAGATGAGAAGTTGGGCACCAGGTAATCCTCCTCTATTCTGCACCATGAAAAAAAATACTTTGGTGCACAGGGATAAACTATCTGTCTAAGTAGGCCAGAACTGGAAATCAACTCCACAAAAAGGTTAAAAGTATATTTACCACATTTGGTTGAACAACAGAATCTTACAAGTCTGTCTGGGCTGTACCTTATATTCCTGTGAATTAGGAGGTATTTGGCTGAGTCTTTCAAAATGTTATCTGTCTGCTGTGGACTTAAAACATTTTTTCACTCCTTTGTTGCTTTTACTTAACAGAGCTTATATATCTCCATTAAGTCATTTTCCTTACTCTCTGCATTATTCAACACTTACCAGTCCTTTTTCTAATAGAAAAAAATATATTAGTCAGGGCCGAACTGTGGATTCCGTGGTGCTCTCTGAGCTTGGTTGCTTGCAGAAAAAAGGACTGAATGAAACGTTTCATTACCCAACTAGGGAATATCTTATGGAGTGTGTGGTTTGCTCCCTGTTTATATGCAGGAGTTTGCCTTGCCAGTTTGGTGGGGATGTGGTTTTCTCCTTGGTAGTTCCTTGATGAGAGTATTGTTTCTTCTTGATTGTTGACTTGGTAATAATCTAGTATTAGCAATGTTCTCTGTGAGTAATGAAATGCCTGTAACTTTCATTTAGGCCTTTTTTCCTGCAAGGCAAAGTAAGTAGTTTGCCACAGGTTCAGCGCATTCAGTTGAGTAAATATAGTTTGCTATGAATGACAGAATTCTCCTTACCATTCCTTGATTCAGTGCTCTTTTTATCCTGAGGATATCTACCACAGGGAACCAGATCTCTGCAATGACACACTGCTGGGTGACATCGATGTTGCAAGAATTCAAGATGTGGTAGATGGCTTTCATTTTCCTCACTTTGATTCCCCAGACCCACAGGTTTGCAGATGCTTCCTTCAACAGCCCCTGTCGATGGGACTCAGTTTGGGTGATCACCTGTAAGTAGGGGCAAAGGTTTAGTTTAGGAACCCAACAAATATATGGGCTACAACTATTAAAATTTCCCAGCCAGCCTGCAGAATGCCCTTCCTGGTTGAGGAATTCTGGGAGTTACAGGCCCACACATGTGTAGGATGAAAGAACAGGCTTAGGATTCATAGTTTATATTTGCTCTGTCCCATTATTGGGGCCATTTGATTAATTTTATAGCCTCTTACATTTCACTCCCATCCCATATCAGCAGCTTTCCCAGCTATTGTTCTACCTGCTATTTGTCCTGATGGCAACCACAGTGGTGTTTTATTTTAATTGGCAGCTGCCATTTAAATCTCCCATTGTGCCCTAAGTGATGTGGCTCTGAATCATTATAAGAAGCAAAGAGAGTGGTCTCTAGATACAACTGCTTGCTGACTGGCACCCTTGGAAGGAGGCCAGGACACATATCTGAACTACATACTGTCCACTTTTGCTAGAGCTCCAATAGCTGCTAAAGTTTGGCACATGCTGACATACGGCGTACTCCAAATTACTCCAAGCAAGACTAAAGACTACTTACTGTGTTGAGATCTTCAATCCTTGTGTTCACACCAGCAGCCACTTCTCGGCGTTCTCCAGCTGACTCGGGACAGGGATATACAGTGGCACGGAACCTAATGAAGAAACAACACCTGGTTCCAGCCATTCTGTCCACTAAAATGCACTTTATAATAAAGATATGGAAGTTGTAATTGCTAGAAAAGGCAGTAGCTAGATTGCTAACCAGTACAAGGTACACAGATCCCATAAGGCTTTCCCAATGAAAGTTCTACACTGGTTGCCAACTGCTAAAGGGACAATCTAAGACAAATTTGCTTTTTAAAGCAATTTTGAATGGCTTAAGAGTTGACTAGCTAAATGGCTTAAGGGCTATTAAGAGCTTATCAGGCCATTAAGTTCTTTAGGAGAAATGTTTTGGAGTCATCTTTCTCAGGGACTCATCTACCTGATATGCAGGAGAAAGCTTTATCTCTGTTGCTCCCAGGCTATGAGGGATATTCTACTGGGAGTATTATTTGTTTCCCCCTTGTGTTTTTAGAGAATCAGTAAAAATGCTTTGTTTTTGCTAGACTTTTCATTTTTATTGATCCTGCAAATTGCCCACCTTATTAGTCTCTCATCTGTAAAGAGCAAATATACCAGATATTTTGGTATAAACATTTGGAATGGATGTGTTCTGAGAATATTTTGTTCACAAGCAGGCAGACTGAGCTATCCTATTGCTCATGGTGAAGTCAAGATCTGAGATAAGGAGTAATATTTACTCTTTCAGCTCCATCTGCCTGTTGACTTTTTCCACATAATGTGTATCAAAAGAGAAGGTCTGAATGTTTTAATTAACATTATTATTTTTCAGGAACTGTGGGACAGAGAGAGAGAGAGCAAGGCAGGAATGTCATAATGTCACTAGTGGCTGCACAGACCACTGGAGCTTAAGATATCTTTTTACATAATTTCTAGAGTAGATTATTTTAATAGCCAAATTGATTTGTTCCAATGCTGTATAAAATGACTGGATTTTCCATTACTAGGCAACCTGAAAACTGGGGGAAAAGTGCTTCATTGCAAGAGGGAAGTGCTACCTATCCAGTGGCACCATCAAACTTGCAGAATGGTGGGCTTAATATTACAATAGCAATAGCACTAAGACTTATATACCACTTCACCGTGCTTTACAGCCCTTTCTAAGCAGTTTACAGAGTCAGCATATTGCCCTCAACAATCTGGTTCCTCATTTTACCGACCTCGGAAGGATGGAAGGCCGAGTCAACCTTGAGCCGGTGAGAATTGAACTCTGCAATATTGCATTCTAACCACTGTACCACCAGGGCTCATGCAAACCTTTCTCCTTTCGTACATCTGCATACAAAAGTGGTAGAGTTACCACCACACTATTTTGTCTTCCACCCCACCTTGATGCTGCTATACATGCCTATATTATTCCACCTTCAAACATGGCATGGATTCACCAATAATCTATTCAAATCAAACCATCAACGGAAGCATATTTTCATTAGCAAAAGCTGTAGGTGCTCACCCCATATTTTAAACTGAATTTTTAAGTTCTTAAATTGTACTTGAAAAAATATTCCTCTTTAAAAAAAGCCCAAACAAGCTACATTCCCTTCCTTCTCCCCGACACAGGCAAGGTTTCAGCCTGATAGCTTTGATCTTTTCACAGTTCTTTTGCATGCTGGTTTTATCTGTCAGAATGTCATTTTTACTTTAATGACACCTTCATCTAGGAAAGCACATGAACCATTCACTGGAGAGTTTTGAAATTGATAAAATCTGCTGGAGAACTCCCATTAGTGTTTCAGCATCCTCCACTGAAAGAGAAAAGGCTTGGGGAAATGCTTATCTTTTGCTCTGCTTCCCATTTTAATAAATCTGGTAGGTAAAATTTAACACTAATTAATTTTTTCTAGCATTAAAATTAAGAGCAACATGCAATAAAAACAAGAGGCAGGGAAACATTAGCAATAATCTCAAACCTTGAATTCCTATAGGACAAAGAATATTGCGCAGCAGATGGGGTTTTCTTGTTCATGTTTAACAGAATTTTTGCACTCTTTTCCCACCCCTTGCTAAAAATAGACAATTTTTTTATATGCCACTAAGCCCATGAATAATTCGTCTGGATTTGGAAATGTGCTGCTTCAAGTTTTTTAAGCTACTGCAAATCTATGAGGACCTCTATCTTCAATTTGGGCATGGATGACATCATTTTGTCCCTTTAAGGAGCTGTCCTCATCCCCGAACCTTTGTAATCAATGGGGCATGTTCAATATGTCTATGGAGATTCTCAGTCATCCAGGTCATAGTTGACCCAAAGGTACTTTTTCAAGAGGTAACTGGACTTCGTTTTTTCCTTGAAGATGTTTCACTTCTCATCCAAAAACTTCTTCAGTTCTGAGTGACGTTTCTTATCTAAATTTGCAATCAGAACTGAGGACGATATGTTCAATATGAACTTCAGCTAAAGAACTGGAAGCAATTGTGATAGTGATAACTCTCTATCAGAAAGTTGTGAATAAATGTTAAAACTCACACAAAATAGTAAGCATTAAAATCCCACTGAGATTAACCTGAAAGCCAACTCAAGATTCATTAATTAACCAACTCAAGATTCATTAATATCAGTTACGGTCAAAATGCTCTTTCTCACCCGTCACAAATCTTCTTGATTTTCTGTCTGAGCTGTTCCCCTTGGTAGAAGATGATGAACACATTCTTTTTCATCTCTTCTTTCTGGGAAAGGAAATATAATTTAAGGAGAAAGAATTTCAAAATAATCACAGAGGCAACTGAATACAGTCTCAGCAATTTCATAACATTATATCCCAGGTAAAAGATCTGAGGCAACAAAATTAAAAACCTATCAGTACCTACAGTGATAGGATCTTCCAAGGGTGTATCCATTTCACTGAACTTCAGATAGATGTTTCCCTTGCAGGCTCTCCACAACAAACGTTCAAAAGGCACCAGCCTCTCTCTTTTAATCACACCAGCGATGAATCTATGGAATGCAAACCAAATATAATGCCCTGTAAATCCACTCTTGTAAAAGGTATTAGTTTATGGAAATATATCAGTTGTAAACCTACTACCAGTTCCTAGATTGGCCTTCTCCAACATGGCACCTTCTGAATGTGCTGGGATTATTTTATTTATATATATATATAAATAAAATGAATGAATGAATGAATGAATGAATGAATGAATGATAACTCCTAGCATTCTTAGATACAGTAGTATGAAATATCCTAAAACAGAATGGGCAAATTTTGGGAGCAAATGGTTGGCATGCTCTCAAGAACTTTACAATCGAGTAATGGTCACATTAGTAGGGCAGAGATGCAGTAGTAGGACATGATTAGGTTTAGCTTCATATGTGTAAGTGGGTCAGGTTTTAGATATTAAAATATTTTGTGGAGAAGAAGTTGGTGCATTCCCCCATATTTTTTAAACTAAGCCTGTGTAGGTTATTCTATACCTTTCTCATTTTCTGTCTCAAAATGGTAGCACTTGGAAATTTAGTGGTGTGGTTAGAAAGGCTGGGATACCATGCAGAGATGGCCATTTATACAGAGGGATCTACAGAACTGAAGATTTTCAGCAAAACGATGAAATCGGCATCACAAGGTAAGCTCAGCCCTAAATGCATGCAATACTGCAACAGATATGCCAAGGGGATGAAGCTTGTATTATGATGGCATGATCCTCATTGCATCATTTGCAACCTCATGGATGCCTCTACAACTCAATTCCAGGAAGAAGGGAAAATACTGATTAAATCAATAAAATGCTAAATAGAGAACTTTATTTTCCATCAGCTACATCTAACCAGGAAGAACTCTGTTCATTTCAATGAGATGCTTGAATCATGGGCTGCATCTCTAAGACATAAATATTGTGGATACAGCACAAGAGAAACAGTACTCACCCCAGTTTTGCAGCAACTGCTGCAGGAGTGCTTCTTAATTCCAGCAGCCCTGAAGTATCTTCATTGAAGAAATCATCAGGCAAATTAGTTTCAGTCTGAAAGCGGAAGAAAGACTTAACTTAAAGCCCTATCCCAAAACTCAACCAATGCAAGATCCTCTTTATTATTGCTTGTGGTTTTAGGACAACCTTGCCTAATCTAGCTTCCTGTAGATATCACAATATTAGACGCTAACCAGGGGATTAACAGAAGCTTACATCCAGCACTTCTGAAGGCCACTATTTTGAGGAAGGACATATGCGGCATAATCAGCTGGGAAGAGCTCATAGACTCAGGGAGATGACCATGGAAATAGGCAACTACAGGTTGTCCTTGACTTGCAACGGTTCATTTGGTGACTGTTCAAAGTTACAACGGCACTGAAAAAAGTGACTTACGGCCGTTTTTCACGCTTATAACCATTGTGGCAACCCAATGGTCATGTGATCAAAATTCAGATGCTTGACAATTGTCTCATATTTATGACGATTGCAGTGTCCCAGTGTCATGCGATCCCCTTTTGTGACTTTCCGACAAGCGAAGTCAATGGGGAAGCCAGATTCACTTCACAACCTTGTTACTAACTTAACAACTGCAGTGATTCATTTAACAAATGTGTCAAGAAAGGTCGTAAACTGGGGGGGGGAATTCATTTAAAAACTGTCTCGCTTAGCAACATAAATTGTGGTTGTAAAGTCAAGGACTACCTGTGTTACATCATCAAAGAAAGTGGAAACATGCCTTAAGTTCTGGAATGCAAGATAGACGAGCTACAGCACATTCTTGCAAGGTTCTGTTATCATAGCCTATTTCCAAAAGTAAGCTCTAATATTCCTGAAGAGTTAGTTTCCTAACCTGGTCTACCACACAGCACAGCAACATACAGCCAACCTTGGCTGACACTTGGGTGGGAGATCAGTAAGAAATCCCAGAGTCATTTGAGGGGCTGATGTAATGGTATGTAGGAATGACCTTGGGAGACAAGGGAAGAACTGCAGCCAGGGCAACGGTCAAATATGAGGAAGCTTAGCCCATAGAAGGAAACATGGAATGACAAAAGTTTCAGTAGGGACCATCCCTAGTTTCCTGGACTGTAAAGGGAAGAGGGGAGAGATGCACTTTTCAGATTTGCAAAAATCTGTTAATGTAACCTTACAATAAAGTAGAACTAGTACTTCTGGGTGTGCTTCTGGTCTGGACTACCTTAAAAAGCTGAAATCAGAGAAGTCGAAAGAATATCCCAGAAATAGAAAATGGCAAACCATTTCTTTACTGATGCCAAGAAGACTCAGGAGAGACTTGATAAAGCAAACCTGTGGATTTGGGCTTGGTCGATTTAGTGCAGTTTATTCAACCCATTGCCTTCCAGTTATACTGAGCTGCAGTTCCCACTGTATCTAACCAGCACAGCCAACGGCCAACTTTTCTGGATGATAGCAAATCAGCCTACTGAGGATCCTAATAGTTAAAAGGCTTAACAAACCTATTTTGAATGAAAAGACACAAAAACAGCTGAATGATAACAGTACCATTCCTTATATGGAGGAAAAAACTAAAGTGCATCCCATTGAGCAAATAAAAATTCCCAGTTTCTAACTTGGCTCAGTTGGTCTTTGTTTGTGTATACAGTGGGGAATGCTGTGAAAAGAATACATCCCCACTCCAGACTGTAAATTTGGAATTTGGTTGGGCCTCTTTGATACAAATTGCACTGTGCTCAGAGAATTCATGGCTTAGGCAGTTATTCTGTAGAGAGCTTTGCCTTTACTGCCAAGGTGTCATCCCGTTTTTGAGTCAGCAAAATACTATATTGGTATATAACATTACTGTGTCCTCATTGCTGATCCTGCATCTTTTGCCACCAAATGACGTCCTGCTTTCATATACACAAGGCATGTGACACAAAATAATTGGCTCAACTTTCTGCTTTGCTACCCTTCCCCTCCCTGAATAACTGGCAATAAGAATGAGGCAAGGGAGTCACCAGAGAAGGTGAGTTTTGACAGAGAGTCGGAGCCGTGTTTTCTGCTAAATGGCCAAATGTCTAGAATTATGCCAAGAGTCTAGATTTAGACAACTGGAAACCTGTGTCTACCACAAATCCACTCACATGGACCAGATCCTCAGCTTCGCAAGCAACCACCGCACACAAAAGAAGCTGTGTCCAGACTCTCTTCAGAAGGGCCAGGACACACTTGTTCTGTCCCCGTCTGACACACACACCCAAACAGCCAGCCGAGGGTTAAATAACTTCTCCACACTCCACGCTACAGATAAGAAACTTAGCAGCAGCTCCGTAGCTGCCTGCCAAGGACTTTTACTCAGAGAACACAGAAACAAAAAACAATACACACAGTTTGAAATTCAATCCACAGCAAACTACTTCGCCAGAGATTTAGCTTTGTCTGTCACAGAGTCCAAATGGCCACTACCTCCCTTTTATAGCCTGTGGGGTGTGGTCCAGTGACTCAACTTAATCTCTGGCACGTCTCCTTTTCTGCTGCGCATGCTTGTCGCGCCTACGTTGGCGTGGATCCAGCCACAACGTATCTTCATCACTATCCGAAACACCTGGCTCCTGGCCAATCTCAGAAACACCTGGCTCCTGGTCAATCTCTTCTCTGTCGGGAAACACCTGAGGCATTGCCAGAGAGGAGGGTCCTGGAGAGGGAGGCCTGGCCATCTCCTCTCCTTCATGTTCGGAGCCTTCTTCCTCCGATAAGAGGGGCTCACAAGACGGAGCCACAACAACACTGCAACACTACAGCACTAAGAAAAGCGGAAGAGAAACGGCTGCTTGATGTCTTTCTCTGCAACGGCTATCCGAAAAACTTTGTATTGCAACACACAACACCCAAACCGCAACGCACCACATAGCCAACCACCACGCAAAAACTAACCCTACCATACACAAAAGGGGTGTCAGAAATGACAGCCAGAATGCTCTAGGAATAGCAATAGCCCACAAATCCACAGCCACACTCAGCCAGGTATTATTCAGAACCAAAGATAAGATACGGAAGGATGAGAGAAACAATGTCATTTACAAAACAAACTGTAACAATTACAGTCAATTCTACACGGGACAAACATCATGTCAACTGAAAGCCAGGATCCATGAACACCAGCTGGCAGTCAAACACCATGATCCCCAATCCCTAATCTCTACCTACATGGACACCAAACAACACCAATTCGATTGGAGCAATACAAGAACCAACAGCCATGTTACTACCCGCCACGCTTGCGAGTTTATTGAAGCTGGGCACTCCACAAACAATTCCATCAATAGATACATCGACCTACAATCCGCCTATGAGCCCCTCAGAGTTCAAATCAACTGCATAGCCAATCAGAGACAGCACCAACCCTCAACCAACCCACGCAACTCTCCCCAACCAGCACTTCAATTCCCAATGGCTTTCACCTGATGTGATGTCCCCATCCCAAGACCCTCACTTGTTACTCACATCTGACCCATTCCAAGACCCTCACTTAACACAATCCACACCCATCACAAGACCTTGACCTGATGTGATCCTGACCTGATGTGACTCACCATCACAAGACATACTGACTACACGAAGCCCTTATAAGCAGAACACTGACATCCCCTAAATTTTGCTGAATATGTTACCTAGCCTGGAAACCAACCCACAAGCTCAGAGAACAAACCTCCACCCTCAATTTAGATTTATTTTTAAACTTTGTCTTTCATCCATCTTCACCTTCCTAGACTCATTTTCTGGCCACCATTTTTCTCAGCGCTGTTTTATCTCCTCTCCTGATTCTCATTGGTTGCAGTTTGGAGTCTAGGACTATCAAGGTTGCATAAATCCAAATAAACCACTAGGTGGCAGTTAAGTACAGTAGAAAATTCCAGTGCACTGCTGCCATCTAATGGTCACATGGAGAGAATAGAAGAGAATATCAAACTGAAGGCCTTGGGGTTCACTGAGCTTAGTGGTTGCTTGCAGATTACCAGTAATGGTCTAAGTAACATCATTAATGCCATTTTTAAAAAAGAATATTTAATATAATTCCATTATTATTCATGGCCATCAATGTTGTGCATTATTTTAAAAAATATACTAGCTTATTAAAATCACACTATCTCCCCAAGATTGGTTTACCCTCCTTATGTCTTTCCTTGACATATTAAATATCCTTATGAATACTGGTATTTTTGCTTCCTTTGTATGATTTTTTTGTATCTTTCTACCATTCAACTGTGGTAGGAATAGGTTTAATAACCCACGGGGCTATACATTTTATCACATACATACAGCACTGATGATATTACCTACTTGAGTAATGAAATATCTGCAAGCAAGAGTACCAAGAATGCCACAATGCTTTTAACATTGGAACACCACTTAAGGCTGCTTCATACTATACATGAACTGAGGATGAGATGAAAGCAATGCCAGAAGTGACAGCAGAGTCAATGTTGTATGCAAATGCCCACAGTTGTCTCTGAGATGACTAGTTGAGCTGAACTCAAGTTCTGAAATGACGAGAATGCATTCAAAGATTGTGTCACCTCAAAGAAGTCTTGGGTTTTCTTCAGGAGATGTTTGAGTTCAGTGAGTTCTAGAAAGTTCTGCTTCAGCGCCTGCAGGTTCTGGTTGGCTTCTTCCAACTCACCTTCCAGTTTCTCTAAGACGGTCTGTTTATAGCCGGAGAGAAACAAAAGTACTGTACGTCGAATCATTCTGTCACACACTTCACTGCTGACAAAATAGATTACTCTAAAGATGGATTATTACACAGCAAACATTTCAAAACACATCTCAGCATGTTAGGCAATTTTGCAATGAATATTAACATCTCAGCCCTACTTCTGGGTATGAATGATTCCCCAATGAAACACATTAAGTGCAGACGGAAAAATAACTAACAAAAAATCCAATAAATCTTCTGTCTATGTTAGATAAAATAATGAGGGATTCTAACATGTCTTACAGCTCTGCTAGCTAAGCCCTTGCTTCCAAGTCATTCTATCTTTTTGTTCTTCATTCAGCTTTAAGCAATAACCCTTCTGATCATAGTCTGTTTAGACTAACAGAAAAAAAGAAAACATTCCTTTGAATCATGATTTCTTGTTACTTCATTGACATTGGGGTTTTTTTTCTCCAGAAGTTCCCTGTCTAGTCTATTACCCTGGTATTCCTGTGGTCTTCTATCTAATATCAACTATGTGCAACCCTGCTTAGCTTTTAGAGTTAGCCAAGACTGAGAAAGTACTGGATCACCCAATTCCTGCCCTTCCAGGTTTAAGTATTAGTTAGAGGTATCCCCAATTTGTGCCTTCACAATATATTGGATTATCAATATCATAATATTCAGCTAGCATGGCGGGAGAAGATGAGAATTATAAGTAAATAACTTTATTTTTGTAACCATAACATAGAGCATACCATAAAATAACAGTAGAATAGTAAAATGAATTAAAAAAAAAAAAAGGAGTAGTAGACCTAAGATGGATAAAACATGATAAAGCCAGAGCTACAATTAGGAACTGAATAAGCTGTTGCATTTATAAACTTCCTATATCAAACAAACTATTCTGAGTGTTATAAAGATCTTGACTTAGTGTTATTTTGGATTGTCATCTTTTGCTGGGTCAACACAGCTGTCTATTATGCTTCTCTAACCAGAAACATACAAAGCCTACCTCTAAGTCAATCATTTCTCGTGGTGGCGGAGTCTCTGGATATTTCCCGGATATGACAGGCAGAATCTCCTCACCCATCTCACTTTCCAGAAAGCCTGGGAGCAAAACAAATGGAAACACACTGGCTAAGTTTCACAAAACACACTCTGCTGCCTTTTCCACACCATATGAAACTTGGTTAGTTGTAACTTTGGTAATTAAGGATTTTGAGTGAACATGGATGTGGCCTAACTTTTCATCTCTTTAATAAATGGAGTCACAAGTTGTGCCACATTAAGAGATATCCTCTGCATTCATCACTGGGGCAACTAGGCTTTGAGTGGTTAAGGGCAACACTTTTTAAATCTCTGGTTTTCTTAATTGGCAATGCTATGATGGCATCACTGGAAGAAACACAAGGTAATATTTTCAGCCCTGTTTTTCATTTTTACAAGGCACAAGATATCACTCATAAAAAACAGGTAGGTTAAACCTATTGAAAGTTGAACATATTTGTTTTATTGCTTAGTTTGTCAAGGATCTACCAAAAATTACAAAACTTTTTCAAAAATAAAAAAAATCTGGCAAGAGTGGTGGTGAAAGTGCTAATAATTGCTGTTTCTGTGCACTAAAACATTCTAGAGATTGTTGGACTAAGAACAGTTCTCAATAAACTTAAGTTTTCAATAAATTAAAAGCTACTTACGAAGGACCCTTTCTAAGGATTCACATCTTCTTACTTCATTCACAAACCTTCTTTGAAAGTTGTTCACATTTGCATTCAACTAAAGAAAATTCATACAAAACCAAAAGATTAGCCAAATTAGCCAACATTATCTATCTATCTATCTATCTATCTATCTATCTATCTATCTATCTATCTATCTATCTATCTATCTATCTATCTATGTATCTATCTATCTATCTATCTATCTATCTATCTATCTATCTATCATCCAGGCTGATGGCTAAGAATTGTAGCAATTATGATTCTAGCACATCAGATTGCATGAAACTAAAGAAAGCTGAAGTCATGAAGGTTTAGTGAAAGTACATATCAAAGAATTCAATGGACATCTCCATTAGTAGGTCAAAGTAAAATTATTTCTTCTAACTAATGTAACACCATAAAGAATATCATAACTAAAATATTGTGCAAGCAGAAGGTAGGCAAAGAACTTCTCTTTAAGGGCTATAAAGCTAGCGAATGATTGTTCTGATTACAGAAATACAGATAGTTGCATATTCATAATTTTGTAGGTCATTTCTATCTTTTTCTCATGTAATATACTTGCCCAGAATACAGATCACAAACAAAGGTTCCTTTAAATCCATTATTTATAAATAGGGTGAAAAATCTGGTGTTTGACCTTCTACATGGGTAATTTTACCAAAAGAATTTAAATGATGGAACTTAACAAGACTGTTGCTAAACAAAATATAATTTACTAATGTTGAGTTTCCTAATTAGATGCTGTACAGTGAATGGGTATGCAGAACATCTGATTCTTCTGATAAATCTTTACAATAAGCAAGTTACTAAGAACTGAGCTTAGAGACACAGAGTGATTCAGAAAAGAGTTGAGCTAAGAAGGCATATGAGCTTTAGATGTTTCTAATGGATTAGCAAATATACTTCAAAAATGGCAAGCGTGGAATGGCTCCACTGGTAGAGCTGAAAGTCCAAACAATCTGGAATGTACAGATGATACATTTTGTTTGCTGAAGACTTAGTGGAGCTCATATTGAAACTAGAAGAAGGAAGTGAAAAATGATGTTATACTTTATTTAGAAGAAAAAGACATTACCTAATATCCCTAGTGAAAGCACAACTGAGAGCAAAAAAATCAAGATGGTGGATAACTTCATTTTTTGGGAATCAGGATTGATAAAGAAAGACTGTGTGCTGAGGAGATTTATCCAAGGGAGGAAGGTAATGACCATTTTAGAAAAGATAATGCAGAATAAGGATATTTCTCAGATAAAAAGATCAGAATAATAAAAGCAATTGTTTTCCAGTGTTAAACTGTGAATGCTGGATATTGAGAGAAAAGGAAATGATTATTAAAAGTACCATGAACAGCAAGAAGAATGAATCAATTGATCCTGGACAACTGGTCCCTTGAGGCAAAGATTGGTAAGAAGAAACTCAGACACTTATAGGAGATGATGTAAGCAAACAATCAATTAGAAGAGACTATGCTTCCCAAGGCTGAGAGAAGTAGAAAAATAGAGAGACAAAGACTAAAGCAGGTAGTCAGAAGGTATCAGGGAAATATCCTTGCAAGATCCAGCCAGTGATTATCATTGGGGTCAGGCCAAGATGATAGTCACTAGAACTGGGCCTGGGAACTTGATGATGTCTATTTAAATTACTATCTTACATTATTTTCCTTTTTTCAAGAGAGTCATGCTCAAAACAAAGTTAACCAGGGCTAGAATAGTAATTATTCTATATCCATTATGTTTCGACATAATGAAACACAACAGCACTAAATGCAAACTTAATGAACAGTCCACGAAAAGCATCCTAAATCAACAACTTACCAATATTCTACACTACATATCATGTTCTATAACACAAACACTTTCCTCCCTATCCTTATTTTGCGTTTGGTTTTTGTTTGTGTAGTGCATTAATGCAGAGAACAATTCTGAAAAACACATCTTTTTGTAATTTTTTAAATTTGATTTTTGAAGAAGATTACATAGTACCATTCTCATCCTTCTTATTCTTACTGACTTCAAAGATGTATTTTAAGGAATATTGGTGTTTTTTCCTCCAAATGTTTGAAGATGTTCCCACTTTAAGAAAAATCAGCAATAAAGGAATTTCCCAGAAACTCAACTTGCTTGTCATTACTGATCTTTCATCTCAGCATTCTGCTATACAAGGTTATAAAATATTCAAGACGATGCATTTTCACCTTCCAAGAGGAGAGGATATTACGCGAGCAAAGGTCACCATTTCATTTTATCAAGAACCACATTCCCTTACAAATAAACTGCTGGGTGTTTCATGCCAACAGTAGATAGAACAGGTAGACCCCAAAGTAGGTGGGGTTAATAATTCCCTCTGATATATTCCTTTTTCTTTTCTAATGCTACTTTCTCTTCCCCTCTTTTTTCTTGTTGCAGTTCTTGTCATTCTTATGTATTAAATGTATACCATGCCTTTTTCTGTGCTCAAGGCAATTTACTGGAGGGTCTCAATTTATTTTAGGGGAGCCAACTGGATTGAGAAACAGTTACTAATGGAGGGCAGATTCAAAGGGATCTCCCTAGACCAGGGGAGATTCCATGCTGGCTTAGGAATTCTGGGAGTTGAAGTCCACGAGTCATAAAAGAGCCAAGGTTGCCTACCCCTGCCCTAGACCTAGTCTAGCATCTTTAAACTCTATAATATCCTCATTCTTGCTGCTGTAGGAAACATTCCCCTCCTTTCTATGGGTACTGAGAAGTACAGGCTGGGTTACTTTTAGTGTCTACTCACATCTCTGAACTGGACCAAACCCAGCTCTCCAAGTTCTGCAACACAGCAATAGGCAGATTCCACCTGAAGAAAAAGTTGCCTCAGACACATCTCTTCACTCCGAAACATGGATGCCATCTTTAATATTCTCTTGGGGCAAAGACATGGAGAAAGACAGAAGGTGATGAGCATAAGTAATCCTAAATAACACACAAAGCACTGTCATGTCAATAAGAGGTTATTTTTGATGTAGGGGAAACTGCAGAAACCATGTAATGTCAATTCTATTACTGGATAAAGTATGATGGTCATCTCAGGTTGAAGAGCTATAGCAGCACTGAAGTACAATTCAGCTTCTAGTTTAGTCTGCCACTCTGTGTGGAACAGATAGAAAGAAACACCTGGCTCTTTAGTTCACACAATACATGCTTTGGGCTAGCCTGGAAAACATCAGTTTTCTAGGAGGCTTCTTCAACGAAGGCATGGGTGTCACATGTGAAGGGGCCTGCAAATGCAATCAATATCCCCTTCAATATCCTCATTGAACTCCTCAAAATTTACTTTTATGTAGACTCATTACATGCTTGCATGAGAGCCAGTCAGGTGTAGTAGTCAAGGCATCAGGGCTAGAAACAGGATACTATGAGTTCTAGTCCTGCCTTAGGCCAGTCACTCTCCCTCAGCTTTAGGAAGGAGGCAAGGGCAAACCACCCCCAAAAAGCCTTGCCAAGAAACTCCAGGGACTTATCCAGGCACTTGCCAGGAATCAAAACACACTCAAAAGCCCAAAATCAAACAAATTAAAATAACATGACTGTGTTGTAAACTTATAAGTTGCCTAAAATAGGAAGCAAACAGAGGAGCAGACTTATTCCATGCAGTCTGGTAGTAGTATCTCAAAACCTTGGCAACTTTACCAAAGAAAACCTTTTACACATATTTACTTCAAAATATATAAAATATGAGCCATTTATTCCTATAGGCATATAAACACATACACATTCACATTCTCTCTCAGACACATACGCAGACTTATATAGACCGAGTTGCTCAGTCTCAGTACATTGTAGCAAAATTGCAAGACCAAAAGAAGGTAAAGCTCAATGAACCATACAGGTCATGTATACAAAAACAGCAGCTTTATGACCCATGCAGGTTATGTATACAAAAGCAGCAGCTTAATAGGCATAATTATTGACTATATATTAAAATCTGGAGACGAACAATTTAATTTAATAGCATAATAAAAGAAAACCTTCAAACATTAATATGTTAGCCTTAGTAACTTTAAGATATGTGGACTTCAACTCCTATTGTTGGAGCAGAAGTCCACATATTTTAAAATTGCCAAGATTAAGAAACAAAGCTTGGGCCATATTGTAGTTAAAACTCAGATCATATGCTGTAGGAGAAGGAGAAACAGAGGGGTGGATGGGTGGAGTCAAGAGAGGAATCAATCTGGAATTGTTACATTCCCACAAGCAGTCCAAGCCCATCCCATCCTAAATCCCATTAACTCTTATCTAGGGCCAATTTAGTGCTGTTTATTTTATCAGATTTTTGTGTATAGGCATAACCAATAAATCAGCTTAATTGGAACCTAACAGTGGTCCTGCTTTACATTAATTTCCCTATCTTTATGTCTTGTTTTAGGAGTAAACCACAGATATTATATTGATACATGCCTGTACTAATCTGTGTATAATATGTGGTTTACTTCTAAAACAAGACATAAAGATAGGGAAATTAATGTAAAGCAGGACCACTGTTTTCTTTTGTGGAAACGGTATTGTACATATATTAAAAAATGATATATATATATAAATAATAAAGTTTCCAAACTTTTAATTCCATGCTACAGAGAAGCCACCTAGTACTTGACAAAATTAAGTCATTAAATGCAACCCATTAATCAACAAAGACTGTGATCCTTTGCCCAAAGTCATATCATATTGCTTTCAGTAGGGCATATCTCCAGCTGCCTAAAAATACTATGTTTCAAGCATTCACAACCAAATTCACAACATCTAGGAAAAAGGGAAAGTTTTGTTTTCCCCTTATCTAGTTCCCTATCATTGTATTTATTCATAGCTAGGCATGGCTTTAGATTAGGACTGGAGAATATATTTGAAATGGCAGTGCTATCATCATTCACAATTAATATTTAATTTATATCCTGCTTTTTTTGCACAGGAATTCAAGGTGGCATACATAGTATCCACTTCTCCTATTTTTTCCTGCAAGAACAGCTCTGTGCAATGGGTTGAGCTGAAAAAGAATGGAAACCTTTCAGACCTGATGTCTCAATTATTTCTTACCACAAATTTTGGGTAAGGACTCAAAAGAAATAACCAACCTTGGAAGAAAACAGAAATGAGGAAGATTCTTGCTGCTTAGTTCTTTCTTAAACCCTTCTCAGGAACCTTTCCTTCTGCTATTTATTGTCCTATTCTTCCTGCAAGCAAGAGAGTAAAGAGAGGAGGAAATGGGTTATGGGTGAGTACAGCGTCCCCTTCAGGGGGGAGGGAGACTTGCAACAGGGAAGCTCCAGAACTTAGAAAAACAACCAGGAAGAGCTACCAGCCAACAAAGGAGAACCTACCATGCATACCATCTTGAAAGGCTTAATTCTTTTGGGTTGAATTTGTAAGCACAGGCATGCTGTCAACACAGTGACCCACAGTATAAGATCTACTCATTTTATTATTGGCTTTTCAACAACATCAGCAAGTACATACACAGTATTTAGATGAAGAGCAGGCATTTAAAAATATTTCAAGCACTGCCTTCATGCTTTTTTGTTGGTATGCATTCAATGCTGCAGGAATTATTAAATTAACCAACCTTGGGTAATAAGAAGAGAGGGCAAGAAAATGTCAGGGACAGTCCTTGTTTTTAGACTATGAACTGAAGGTTTCTTGAGACATGGTCTAAATTGCTTTAGGACGTTAACTGTCAATGTTAGCCTGTTACTTTGTTTATATATTGTTCTTCAGAATCAAACACAATTCAGGCCTAATCTGTTTCTCAGTATTTACTTTTTAAACTTATAACATGGCAGGTTTTTAATAATATTTTATCCTATGGAGTCCAAACATAGCAATAAGAAAAATTAATCTGTAGTCACAAGGACTAGAAACTACTATCAAAGTTAGGAATCTACCATATGAGCCCTGGTGGTGCAGTAGTTAGAATGCAGTATTGCAGGTTAATTCTGCCCACTGCCAGGAATTCGATCCTTACTGGCTCAAGGTCTTCCATCCTTCCGAGGTCAGTAAAATGAGGAGCCAGATTGCTGGGGGGAAAAATGCTGGCTCTGTAAAGTCTCTCTAAGGGCTAAAAAGCACTGTGAAGCAGTATATAAATCTAAGTGCTATTGCTATAGCACTAAATGTGCTATACCAACACACAATCTTGAGAAACCATCCTGGATTGCAAGATCCTGCCATATAGCACAGATGGAAAACCAACTCTCCACAGTTTTTGTCTACATCACTGTTACCTAAACTTGAAATTTAATTTAATATATCCAGCAAGCAAAGAAGGTGCTGAACCACTGCTATCTTCTCATGAAACTATTCTATTCTAAAGTATAAAGTATCTCAATTACCCTACTACAAATATCCACAGATGCTTCGTACAAGTGAATTATGGTGAAGCTTAGAAATCCATATAATATAAATATTATCAGACTTATACACTTGTCAATCATCATTAAGGAATCATCATGCTATTTAAATCACATCTATATAACTTCATAAACATGGAAAATCTCATCTATTGCTCCTAGGCACTTATTGGCTTTTTTATTTTAAAGTTATAATTAGACCAGCATACTAGCAATTAGACAGCTTAAATATCCAGCCCCATCAAGTGTTAATTGCCAGTTTTGAAATATATATTCAGCTATTTGATCAAGGCCTGCATTATTTAATGTGTGCAAAAGAGAGAGAGGGAGATCATATCTTGTTCATGGGAGAAAAATATTCATCATATTTTCAAGTAATGTTCTTTAGGAAAATGCAGAAGGCACTAAAATGCAGAGAAATTACAGTCCACCACAGGACTGTGATAGTTATATCCACGCCAAGATCTCACCTCCTTTATCCAGCCTCTTTTTCTTGTTTCTGGGTGTTGCAGAGAAGTCTGAAGCTGCTTCCAGCATAACAGAGAGCAAATGAAACACTGTGGTGACATGGGGTTTCTAGACGTGTGGCTTAAAACTGGACCAAACTGGACTAAAAAGAACACTTTGCCCGCTAGTCATAAATGGCAAAAGAAAAAAAAAGAAAAAAAAGAAAAGAAAGAAAAGAAAGAAACCAACAGCAAACTCTTTGCCTAAAAACCTTTCAACTTGAGACGTGTGATAAACACAAATAATGTTATGTCAGCAGCAAGATGTTGCTATAAACAACATAATAAAGTTTTGATAGAAATGGAGGCACCTCCTTGTTTCATTCTTCCTCTTTAAAGAAAAAAACTCAAATTCTTCCCTTCTCTGTTAGCAGAGCTTTCAGAATTTTGCAAAGTTTGCATTAAATACAGAAAATTAAAATGTTCCTCATTTGCTCTGTCAAGTTCAATACTTAAAAATATTCTCCGACTGCTCTGTAGATGTTAAAGGCAAAGAGTTCGGTGGCAAGAAGTAAGGTAGGTTACTAGAATCCAGTCCATATATTTTTGTGCCATGTACATTTCTTCCCACCCAATACAGAGGACTAAGTTTAATTTAGCTCTCCCATAGTTTTTAAATGCAGCGTCCCAAAATGCATGTTGATTTTTAGGATATGGGCCAGTTTGATCTCAAGGAAATGGAACAGGAACATCTTTGGGAGACAGCAAAACCTACTATGCTGGATTACAATTGATTATATTCTGAATTGCAGCCATCCAATATTTTTTATTTTATTTACTTTTACTATAAAAATGAGCTGTCTGGAGTTCTTGTAAACCACATGCTTGGTTCACTGGTTGTAGCTGGAGTGGAACAAGGAGTGAGTGCCTCACCTTCATCTCCAAAATTTTCTCTCTCACACACACACACAGATATACACACCCTTTGCTAAATGTTAAGCTATTCTTGAAAGGCTAGATATCCTTTCTGCTCCTTTCCTGGTCTACCTTACTGAAATGTAAAG